TGCACTCTGAAGGAGGGGTGTTAATGTTGCAGTTTAAAAACTGTAGTGTAGGACACCCTTCTGGCAAGACAATGATGGAGTGAATGATGGTGAAAGTTTTTTTTTTCGGGCCACTAAACTGTTGTGTTCTGAGCACCTTTGCAAAAACAGTGATTATGTGTGTGAGGTGAAGTGTTGAATGATGATGAAAGTATTTTCTTTTTGGAGATTTTCTTTATTTTTGGGTCACCCTGCCTCAGTGGGAGTGAATTCTGTGAATAATATTTACACCACTCGTTGCCCTTAGGCACAACATCTCCACTGCCTCCAGCTTCCTCCTTGCTGCAGCATTTACAACCTATCCTTCACACTCATATAAGAGTGTTGGTACCAATATGCTCTGGTACATTCACTTCTTTACCTCTGTGGATAATGTTATTTGTCTCTACAGATACCTCAAAGCACCACTCGCCTTTTTTCCTTCATCAGCTCTATGGTTAACCTCGTCCTTCATAAACCTGTCTGCTGACAAGTCAGATCCCAAAATATCTCAACACATTCACTTCTTTCATACTCCCTCCCTCCAATGTGATATCCAATTTTTCTTTATCTAATTTGTTTGATACCCTCATCACCTTAGTTTTATCTGTGTTCACTTTTGACTTTCTATCTTTACACACCCTCCCAAACTCATTCACAAACCTTTGCAATTTTTCTTTAGAATCTCTCAAAAGCACAGTATCATCAGCAAAAAGTAATTGTGTCAACTCCCATTTTGTATTTGATTCCCCATAATTTAATCCCATCCCTCTCCCCAACACCCTAGCATTTACTTCTTTTACTACCCCATCTATAAATGTGTTAAGCAACCATGGTGACATTGCACATCCTTGTTTAAGACTTTCACTGGGAAGAAATCTCCCTCTCCTACACACCCTGTCCTGTGCCTCACTATCCTCATAAAACCTCTTTATAGCATTTAGTAACTTACTACCTTTTCCATACACTTGCAACATCTGCCACATTGCTCCCCTATCCACCCAGTCATAGCCTTTTCTAAATCCATATATGCAGTGAAAACTTCCCTACCTTTATCTAAATACTGTTCACATTTTTTTTTTTTAATAAGTCAGCCGTCTCCCACTGAGGCAGGGTGACCCAAAAAGAAAGAAAATCTCCAAAAAGAAAATACTTTCATCATCATTCAACACTTTCACCTCACACACACATCATCACTGTTTTTGCAGAGGTGCTCAGAATACAACAGTTTAGAAGCATATACATTGGACCCTCGACCAGCAATGGCATCGATTAATGATAAATCTGACTAGCGATACATTTTAATGCAAAAATTTTGCCTTGACTAGCGCTAAAAAACTCGACCAACACTATTCGTTCCGTCTGAGACGCGTCCACTTCTGGCCAGTGTTTACAAGCCAGCCAGCCACCGCGGTCGCTTCCAAGCATACAATCGGAACATTTCATAGTATCACAACCATTTTAGTGATTGCACCTGCAAAATAAGTCACCATGGGCCCCAAGGAAGCTTCTAGTGCTAACCCTCCAGCAAAAAGGGTGAGAGTTACTGTGGATATGAAGAAAGAGATCATTGCTAAGTATGAAAGTGGAGTTCATGTCTCCGAGCTGGCCAGGTTGTACACAAAACCCCAATCAACCATCACTACTATTGTGGCCAAGAAAACAGCAATCAAGGAAGCTGTTCTTGCCAAAGGTGCAACTATGTTTTCGAAACTGAGATCGCAAATGATAGAAGATGTCGAGAGACTGTTATTGGTGTGGATAAACGAAAAACAGATAGCAGGAGATAGCATCTCTCAAGCGATCATATGTGAAAAGGCTAGGAAGTTGCATGAGGATTTAATTAGAAAAATGCCAGCAACTATAGGTGATGTGAGTGAATTTAAGGCCAGCAAAGGTTGGTTTGAGAGATTTAAGAATCGTAGTGGCATACATAGTGTGATAAGGCATGGTGAGGCTGCCAGTTTGGACCAAAAAGCAGCTGAAAAATATGTGCAGGAATTCAAGGAGTACATAGACAGTGAAGAATTGAAACCTGAACAAGTGTTTAATTGTGACACTGACAATGTTGTGAAACACTTTAGGAATGTCATAAAGGAACGGGAGGTACAGGCCTCTATGGTATGTTGTGCGACAGAGGTCCAGTGACTCTCAAGCTGGTCCTAGTGGCATTAAAAGAAGAAGGGAAGTAACCCTGAAAAAGGACTTGCCACCTCAAGTCCTAATGGAAGGGGATTCCCCTTCTAAACACTAAAAGCATCAACACTCTCCCCTCCTCCCACCCCATCAATCATCACCAGATCTTCAATAAAAGAAAGTGTCATGTAACTGCGCATGTCTTCTTCAGTTTGTGTGTATTAAAATTAATATTTCATGTGGTAAAATTTTTTTTTTCAATACTTTTGGGTGTCTTGCACGGATAAATTTGATTTCCATTATTTCTTATGGGGAAAATTAACTCGACTAACGATAATTTTGATAAACGATGAGCTCTCAGGAACGGATTAATATTGCTGGCTGAGGGTCCACTGTACGTATAAAGATACACAACATATCCCTCCAAACTGCCAATATCCCAAACCCCTCCTTTAAAGTGCAGGCATTCTACTTCCCATTTCCAGGACTCGAGTCCAGCTATATAAAAATAACCGGTTTCCCTGAATCCCTTCACTAAATATTACCCTGCTCACACTCCAACAAAAAATACCAACACTATATTTCTCCCTGCTTTTAACATTTCTGTCATGATCCTGTCAGTTCCAGCTGCTTTACCCCCTTTCATTCTATATAATGCCTCATGCACATCCCCCACACTCACATCCTGCTCTTCTTCACTCCTAAAAGATGTTATACCTCCATGGCCAGTGCATGAAATTACTGCCTACTTCTCTTTATCAGCATTTAAAAGTTCCTCAAGATATTCTCCATCTTCCCAATACGTCCAACTCCCCATCTACTAACTCCCTTATTCTGTTTTTACCTGACAATTCCATTTGTTCCCTAGGCTTTCTTAACCTTATGTTTATCTCACTCCAAAATTTTATCTTATTCTCAGGAATATTTGTTGACAGTGCCTCACCCACTATTGTTTGCTCTCCTTTTGCACTCTCTCACCACTCTCTTCACTTTACTTTTACTCTCCATATACTCTGCCCTTCTTATATCACTTCTGCTTAGTAAAACCCTTTCGTAAGTGACCTTTTTCTCTTTATTGCACCCTTTACACCATTATTCCACCAATAACTCCTTTTTCTTCCTTCATCCGCCCTCGTGTAGCCACAAAGTTCTGCCTCGCATTCTAACACTGCATTTTTAAAACTATCCCACCCCTCTTCAGCTCCCCCCACTATCTATACTCGCACTAGTCCACCTTTCTTTTCCGTTAGTTTATAAACTTTCACATCTCTTACTTCCTATTGCCATTTTCCTTTTACCCCGTCTACCCCTTACTCTAACTGCAGTTAAAACTAAATGATGATCTGATATATCAGTTGCCCCTCTATAAACATGCATATCCTGAAGCCTACCCATCAACCTTTTATCCACGAATACATAATCTAACAAACTACTTTCATTATGTTCCATATTTTATCTTGTATACTTATGTGTTATCTTTTTCATAAAATACGTATTACTTATTACCAAACCACTTTCTACACACAGTTCAATTAAAGGTCCCCTATTTTCATTTACCCCTGGCAACCCATACTTACTTACTACTCCCTTCACAACATTTTTACCCACTTCAGCATTTAGGCCCCCATCCCCAAGTACTTTTTCTCTTGGTTCAAAACTCCCAATGCACTTATTCAACATTTCCCAAAATCTCTCCCCTCTACACCCCTCTCTTCTCTGGATGCATAAACACTTATTATAACCCACTTTTCACATCCAACCCTTATTTTACTCCACATAATCCTTGAATTTATACATTTATGTTCCCTCTTTTCCTGCCATAATTTATCCTTCAACATTATTGCTACTCCTTTCTTAGCTCTAACTCTATTAGACACCCCTCACCTAATCCCATTTATTTTTCCCCCACTGAAACTCTCCTACCCCTTTCAGCTTTGTTTCACTTAGTGCCAGGACATTCAGCTTCTTTTCACTTTTAACATCCACAGTCATCTCTCTTATCATTAGCACTATACCCATGCACATTCAGATATCCCACTTTGACGTTTTTTTACTATTTTTTTAGTAAGCTATGTGGGAAAAGGGGTTACTGGCCCATTGCTCCCGGCATTTTAGTTGACTTTTACAATACACATGGCTTACAGAGGAATGATTCTTATTCCACTTCCCCATGGATATGAAAGGAAAAGTAATAAGAACAAGAACTATTAAGATAATATCAAAGAAAACTCAGATGAGTGTGTATACATAAACATGTACATACATGTGTAGTGTGACCTAAGTGTAAGTAAAAGTAGCAAGACATATCTGTTATCTTGTGTGTTTATGACAGAGAAAACACACCAGCCCTCCTACCATCATGTAAATCAAATACAGGTTTCTGTCTCACACTCGTTTGGTAGGATATTAGGTACCACCCTACTTTACCTGATTTTATTAAGCTTAATGGAAGATAATATCAAGATTTTTTTGCACCATCAGAATATTTTAGTTGCACTTCTTGAATTGTGTTGCAACAGAAATTGTGCTGCATAAATTTGCTTTGTAAGGATTGTTTTACTACTACAAATAAGTCATGTAGAGAAAATGTACAGGTTCTTGCTTTATGTGGGTTCACCTTAAACAAATTCATTAATATTCAGTGCTTTGTTTTGATCAGTAATTCCATATGCAATATGTGGTATATATTTGCCATGTGGATATGTGTGGTTGCAGAGCATTTTGAAGATTCTTATCCTTCATTAAATGTATCTGCAGCTTAAAATGAGGGACACCTGTACAATATTATGTTGTTTTGAGTAAAGCATTCATATTTAGGTTTGCTAATAAACATTCCTTTATTTCAGAAAGCAGAGTTCCAGGATGCAAATGTGTGCCTTTTTGTCTTTGATTGCATTCACTACAATGGAGAAGATCTGATGAATGTGTAAGTTGCAATTTACACACTATATATTTTCTGTCTGACATGACATTTGTTTTCCATTTAGCTTCTGCTCTTTTAGATATCTTTTTTTTTTTTTTTTCAACAAGTCGGCCGTCTCCCGCCTAGGAAGGGTGACCCAAAAAGAAAGAAAATCCCCAAAAAGAAAATACTTTCATCATCATTCAACACTTTCACCACACTCACACATCATCACTGTTTTCGCAGAGGTGCCCAGAATACAATAGTTTAGAAGTATATACGCATAAAAATACACAATATATCCCTCTAAACTGCCAATATCCCAGACCCCTTCTTTAGAGTGCAGGCATTGTACTTCCCATTTCCAGGACTCAAGTCCAGTTATATAAAATAACCGGTTTCCCTGAATCCTTTCACTAAATATTACCCTGCTCACACTCCAACAGCTTATCAGGTCCCAAATACCATTTGTCTCCATTCACTCCTATCTAACACACTCACGCACGCTTGCTGGAAGTCCAAACCCATCGCCCACAACACCTCCTTTACCCCCTCCCTCCAACCTTTTCGCCGATGACCCCTACCCCACCTTCCTTCCCCTACAGATTTATATGCTCTCTAAATGATCAAATCACTTCAACAAACCCTTTTCAGCCCTCTGACTAATACTTTTGTTAACTCCACACCTTCTAATTTCCATACTCTGAATTTTCTGCATAATATTTACACCATACACCAGGACATCTCCACTGCCTCCAACTGCCTCCTCACTGCAGCATTTACAACCCAAGCTTCACACCCATATAAGAGTGTTGGTACTACTATACTTTCATACATTCCCTTCTTTGCCTCCATAGATAACATTTTTTGCCTTAACATATACCTCAATGCACCACTCACCTTTTCTCCTTCATCAATTCTATGATTAACCTGATCCTTCATAAATCCATCCGCTGACACGTCAACTCCCAAATATCTGAAAACATTCACTTCTTCCATACCTCTCCTCCCCAATTTGATATCCAGTTTTTCTTTATCTAAATCATTTGATACTCTCATCACCTTACTCTTTTCTATGTTCACTTTCAACTTTCTACCTTTACACACACTCCCAAATTCATCCACTAACCTTTGCAATTTTTCTTTAGAATCTCCCATAAGCACAATATCATCAGCAAAATGTAACTGTGTCACTTCCCATTTTGTATTTAATTCCCCATAAGTTAATCCCACCCCTCTCCCGAACACCCTAGCATTTACTTCTTTTACAACCCCATCTATAAATATATTAAACAACCATGGTGACATTACACATCCGTGTCTAAGACCTACTTTTACTGGGAAGTAGTCTCCCTCTCTTCTGTGCACTCTTACCTGAGCCTCACTATCCTCATAAAAATTCTTTACAGCATTTAGTAACTTACCACCTATTCCATGTATGTACTTGCAACATCTGCCACATTGCTTCCCTATCCACTCTTATCATATCTTTCTTTCTTTCAACACACCGGCCGTATCCCACCGAGGCGGGGTGGCCCAAAAGGAAAAACGAAAGTTTCTCCTTTTACATTTAGTAATATATACAGGAGAAGAGGTTACTAGCCCCTTGCTCCCGGCATTTTAGTCGCCTCTTACAACACGCATGGCTTACGGAGGAAGAATTCTGTTCCACTTCCCCATGGAGATAAGAGGAAATAAACAAGAATAAGAACTAGAAAGAAAATAGAAGAAAACCCAGAGGGGTGTGTATATATGTGTTGTACATGTATGTGTAGTGTGACCTAAGTGTAAGTAGAAGTAGCAAGACGTACCTGAAATCTTGCATGTTCATGAGACAGAAAAAAAGACACCAGCAATCCTACCATCATGTAAAACAATTACAGGCTTTCGTTTTACACTCACTTGGCAGGACGGTAGTACCTCCCTGGGCGGTTGCTGTCTACCAACCTACTACCTATAACTCTTATCATATGCCTTTTCTAAATCCATAAATGCAATAAAAATTTCCCTACCTTTATCTAAATACTGCTCACTTATGTTTCAATCTACACATCTACACATCCCCTACCCACTCTAAAGCCTCCTTGCTCATCCGCAATTCTACATTCTGTCTTACCTCTAATTCTTTCAATAATAGCCCTACCGTACACTTTTCCTGGTGTACTCAGTAAACTTATTCCTCTATAATTTTTACAATCTCTTTTGTCCCCCCTTCCCTTTTATATAAAGGGACTATACATGCTCTCTGCCAATCCCTATGTACCTTCCCCACTTTCATACATTTATTAAACAAAAATACCAACCACTCCAACACTATGTCCCCCCTTGCTTATAACATTTCTGTCATGATCCCGTCAGTTCCAGCTGCTTTACCCCCTTTCATTCTATGTAGTGCCTCACGCACCTCCCCCACACTCACATCCTGTTCTTCTTCACTCCTACAA